CCATGTCTGTCTATGTCACCATCTTCACCAGAAGCCGTCTGTTTTTTTTTAATTAATCTATTGATCAATATTCTTAAGTTGCTCCCATATCTTGACTGTTGTAAATATTGCTGAAATTAGCATATAAATGTACATGTCTTTTCAAGGTAGTGTTTTGGATTTCTTTGGCTAAAATCCCCGAAGTGGAATTGCTGAGTATTTCTTTGTCTCTTATTATAGCCTTTGTTTTCAAGTCTATTTTGTCTGGTGTAAATATTGCTTCCTCAGTTTTTTTTGTTTTGTTTTGTTTCTATTTTCATAAAATATATATTTCTATTTCTTTATTTTCAGTTTGTGTCTCCTGATCTGAAGTGAGTCTCTTGTAGACAGCATATGTAAGGGTCCTATTTCCTTGTCCATTCAGCCACCCTCTATCTTTTGATTAGAGCACTTAACCATTTGCATTTAAAGTAATTATTGATAGCTATGTATTTATTGCTATTTTATTATTCATAGTTTTGACCTTTGTTTTTTTCCTTCTTGACCTTTAACATTTCTTGTAATACTGGTTTGGTGATGGTGAAATCCTTCAGCTTTTTTTCTTTTTTTTTCTGGGAAGCTCTTTATCTGTCCTTCAAGTCTAAATGATAGCTTTACTGGTAACCTTGCTTATAGGTACTTGCTTTTCATCACTTTGAATATTTTGTGTCAGTCCCTTCTGGCATGCAAAGTCTCTGTTGAGATATCAGCTGACAGTCTTATGGGAATGCTCTTGTAGGTAATTAAGTCTTTCTCTGGCTGCTTTTAAGATTCCCTCTTTATCTTTAACCTTTGGCATTTAAATTATGATGTGTCTTGGTGTGGGCCTCTTTGAATCCAACTTGTTCGGAACTCCGGAGGAACTCCGTGCTTCCTAGACTTGTGTCTTTTTCCCTCCCTAGGTAGGTTCGGGGAATTTTCAGTCATTACTTCAAATAGGTTCCTAATTCCTTGACTTGTTTCTTTTTCTGGAACCCCTGGGATGTGGATGTTGTTATAGTTAATGTTGTCCCAGAGACCTCTAAAACTCCTCATTTTTTAAGATTCTTTTTTCTTTTTGCTGTTCTGATTGGGTGTTTTCTGCTTTCTTATCTTTGAAGATTAGGAATGTGGATTAGAGTAGTGCTTCCTAAACTTTACCTTACATACGAATCTTATTAAAATGAAGGTTCTGATTTACTATGTCTGAGTTAGGGCCTCAGTTTCTGCACATCTAAGAAGCTCTCAGGTGACATAGATGTTTCTGGTCTATGGATCACACTTTGAGTGGTGGGAGAAGGGATAGCCTGCACATTTTGTGGGCATGAATTCATGAGTACTGCTTTTCTGTCTGGGAGTTATGATAGGAATGGACCAAGGGTAGGTGTGAGGTTATACTTCCTGACATATGTCTGGCAAGCAGCAATTATTCAATATGTAGAGCCACAGGTCTTAGCTTTTAACAGTAAACTGGCTGGGATACCAGGGCTCCAATAAAGCAGCTACCTTATCTCTGCATAGATACGGCTGTAGCAGCATCTGTAGGCAGCGCACGGTTCTTCTCAGAAGGTAGTATTTAGTGATCTAAGAAAAACCAACGATCTTTCAAAAGGTCAAAGTTCTTCACCCTGATCATGTACATAATTATTTTATCATGTAAAAACTTTAAAACAGCTCTAACTAAACATTTTCTTTGACCATGAAACTATTTCAACCCACAGGATATATACTTTAAAAGAAATATAATTTCCTGGTGAACACATTAGTTAAACTGATTGTAAAATATTATTAAATGGATTTATGGCATTTTAAATTATAAACTCATTTAATGTTGGGTAACAGTGAAAGAAAATAATGACTAACTCTAGAATACTTGGCCTCTAGCCTTTTTGGGGGGAAGATGATTCTCTATTAAAGATAATCTTGGAGTGTTTGAATAGAGACATGCCATCTCTATATTAGAGAGTGCTTATCTTTCTTTTCTTTATAGTGGGGTCATGTATCCAGATCAGGGAAAAGTTGTATCAAATCACAATGGTAATACTCACTTCCCCTCTTATGGTTCGGGGAATTTTCAGTCATTACTTCAAATAGGTTCCTAATTCCTTGACTTGTTTCTTTTTCTGGAACCCCTGGGATGTGGATGTTGTTATAGTTAATGTTGTCCCAGAGACCTCTAAAACTCCTCATTTTTTAAGATTCTTTTTTCTTTTTGCTGTTCTGATTGGGTGTTTTCTGCTTTCTTATCTTTGAAGATAATCTCACTTCCCCATAAGAGGGGAAGTGAGTATTGTAGATTCCTATTCTGCCTCAAGAGAAATTGTTAGCTGATACAAGAAACCACTTTTTTCCCCCCCAGGCTAATTCTTAAGCTAGTTCAATATATACAGATTTTAAATAAGCATAAAAACAAAAGAAACAAAGTTTTAAAAAGATTTCTATTTGAGTTCATGCATCTTGACCACTCATTTTAGTTTCAAAAGACAAGAAATATTAATAAAAGGAAAAAATATGGTATTATTTGCGGCAGAGACAGTAATGCTCACGAAATGTTTCATTTTTTTTTGAAAGAAGTAGTATGACTTTATTGAAATATTTTAATACAGTGTTAGAAGACTTTAAAATCTTATATTCTAAAACAATACAAGCACTACAAACGATATATTCCTGAATCTAGTTAACATCTTATCTAACGAAAGACAGTTATCTTATGAATATCTGTAAGTTGATTAATATAAGTTAAGTTCGAGGCTGAGCGATTTTTGCACATTCACATCTCTCTGGCTCCCCTTTATAGCTAGATGTAAATCAAGTTGACCTCCATTCAGCAGAGCTGGACAGGATGAACATCTTCGGCAGTTTCACTGAAATGTTTCCAGACCCGCAGAAAGAAGAACGTGAGTTCTGGGATGAAGCTGTTTGGAGGCCGTCTTCCTTATCTTTGTTGAACTGAAACCAAAAAGCTCAAGCCCACACTGCTACTTGTGGCTGCCTAAGTCTAGTCTAATAAGTTAATCAATGTATTGGAAGTACTTTGAAACACACACATACTACTAAGTAATGTCAGAAACAATCAGTTCTTAATTTAGAGAATTACAATAGATTTTCTATCATTTTTATCATTATTTTAAAATTAACTCCCTATTTTACTACAAATGTTAGATGAAGTGATTATCTTTAAATCAACTGGTTTTAGTCATGTTAACAGGTCTACACTTGCGTGCCAAGCTGTCTTATTTATGCATGCTCATAACTGCATTTTCATTCCTCTATGCATAGAAATGCCAAGAAATACAGATATCACTCACTTACCAAAAATTAAAATTACATAACATCCAGATAAACTCTTGACATATCTCAGGTCAACTCTTTCTAGATGCAGTCAATCTGTATTGCATAGGTGGCTTTACTGGGTTATAATGTCATTTTATGTCAAAATCTATTTTGAGGTACAACAAAATGCTGATTTCTGCAATGACCAAAATGACAATTTTTAAATTTGATTCCACCTCTGCTGTAGTGAAATTTGAAATCTTAACAACTGCTCTAATTGCTAATGACGTCAATAGATTTTACTTTTCCACCTGCAGAAGTTAAAGAATTTATTCCCTTCAAGGTTTAAGATTTAACAGAAGGGATAGACTGTTGTTTATTATTCTATGCAAGCGAACTCTCTTCTTCTGGGGATGAAGAATTCAGTTGAATGCATACCAATGTGCATATAATAAAATTTAGAAACAGGCAAGGCATGCCTTCTGCCTGTGTCAGAGAGGCGCCTTTTGTAGGAGGATGTTATCAAGGGCCATCTTGTGGAGAAAGCAATCTTTCCTCCCACAATCACTCTTGGGCCCCTATTTGAATTTTATTTTAACGGAGGAACTAATGTTAACTTATTTGTACTTGTTTCATAGGCCTTTCTTACCCACATTTTCCATATAGTGACTAGTTGAAATAATCAGTTGCCTAGTCTTCTGATTACAAAAAAGCTAACGAATATTAAAAATCAACTCTAATGATACTTAAATATGCTTTTGGTGTAACTCACAAAAATCCACCTTTCTATTTACATCAAAAGGGAAATTATGATCAGATTATTCAATGTGAGGGGACTTAGGAGTTTTGGTGGACATCAATGACATGAAATTATCAAAAAAAGGCAAAGTAAAAGCTAAAGCTAAAAATGAGACCTAAAACAAGATGACAGGACAAGACATACCCCCAGAACTGACTGTCCAGGATGGACAGAGGCCAGCACGAATGTTGACATCAAGCACAGAGACTCTATCTCAAAACAATTTCTAAATCAGACCTATCACTGAACATCATTTTGGAATTTTAGAACATGACATTTCACATAGGTGACAGTTATAACATGTTTTTCAGAAGTGGTAATAAAAAAAATACTGAGCTACATGGCATCTCATATGTCTAATATTTACCCAAAAATGTATCAGTGGTCATCTGAAACTATAAAATTTGGTCCAAATAAAACACAATAACCAAAATGGTTTATTTTAAACCCAGCTACTAAAAATAAAAATAAAAATTTATGGTATCATAAATTTTCTAAGTTTTTTCATAGAAGGGCTCATTTTATACAAGATTTTACCCAAAGGTCCACAGGCATTATCATATAGAAGTGTTTATCCTAAAGCTACCTTTGGCAACCCTGAAATTTATAAATTATGAACTTCCACAATGGAATTATATACTTGAAAGCAATGACCTCAAAATACTAACAGGATAGGAAAAAGTCACCTATCAGAACAAGTCAAGATGACAAAAATATTTCTAATTTATGACAGTTCACAGATTAAATAACCACCACCCTCCCCCCAAATTGGAAATAGGGTCTTGAGCAACATAAGGGGGAAACAACTGGTCTTGGAAGATACAAGGGTCTGATCTTTTGCGTTCTAATTGCTGAGTCCTAAAGCTAAAATAGCAGATAAAAACATACTAGTCAGAAGTCAGCAGGCTTGCCCGGGTCTCCCATCCTGGACTTACAGCAGCAGGTCGTGGCTGAACAGGTACGACACGGATTCACCGTTGTGGGTCCTGCGGATTGCCTCGGCCAAGATCATCGAAATGTCAATAACCTGGATCTTGGAGCAGTGAATCATTTTGTCCTCTTGCGGAATTGTGTTTGTAACAACAACAGCTTCGAAGGGGGCACTGTTTATTCTGGAAATAGCCGGCCCAGAGAAGATCCCATGAGTAAGGATAGCGTAAACTTTGGTGGCTCCGGCCGCGAGCAGCTTACCTGCAGCATGGCAGATTGTGCCACATGTGTCGGCCATATCGTCCACGAGGATGGTCACACGGCCCCTCACGTCGCCCACCAGGACCATCCGGTGAACTTCATTCGCCTTCTTCCTTTCTTTGTGAATCAAGGCAAAATCCACATTCAACCTGTCCGCAATTGACGTGACTCTTTTGGCTCCCCCCGCGTCAGGGGAAACCACGATACAGTTCCTCCAGTCCGTGATGTTCTCCCGAATCCACTGCAGGACCGCGGGCTCCGCGTACAAATTATCCACAGGAATGTCAAAGAATCCCTGGATCTGAGAGGCATGCAGGTCCATGGTAATGATGTGATCAGCCCCGGCGACCGAGAGCATGTTGGCCACAAGTTTCCCAGAAATCGGAGCACGACTCTTGTCCTTTTTATCTTGACGGGCATACGGAAAACACGGGATCACTGCAGTCACCTTGGACGACGATGCGGTCTTGCAGGCATTGATCATGATGAGAAGCTCCATCAGGTTGTCGTTGACATCTCCACAGCCGCTCTGGATAATGTAGATATCTTTCCCTCTCACGCTTTCACCGATCTCCACGCAGATCTCCTGGTTGCTGAACTTCTTGGTGACCACCTTGCCCAGCTCCAAGCCCAGCCGGTCAGCCACCCGCTGGGACAGATCCTGGTTGGAGCTGCCACTGAAGAGCATGAGGCTGGTCATCTTGAGAAGCCAAGGGCGCGCGGCAGAGAAGGAGACAGTGGTGGCACTAGAGGCTGCAGCAGGAGAGGGAATGCGCGGCCGCTGGGCAGACCTGTTGCAGCTGATCTCCTGCGTTTTTTATCCTCTTCTGAGTTTGTGAGCCCATGTGACTAGTTTTGGCCAATAACACAGGAGTAAAAGTAATCTTTGGACTGAATCAGTAAAAAAGCCTACATGTAACTTTCTAGTCTCTCTCGCTCTTCCCCCACCTTCGCCCCAGTCCCCTGCCCTTGGAAGCTGTGTGTTCCCTCTGGAGCGCCTACAAATTGGTCAGCCTCTGTTCCTGAGTGGAGCCGAGACCCTTGCTGACCTCTAAGGGACATGAGATATGAGCAAGAAATAAATCTTCATTATGTTAAGCCACCAAGAATTCTAATTCTAAGCCACCATCATTTAACCCAATATATCTCAACCAATACATGTTTATAACAGATTTCTCCACAAGCTAATAGGGGAGTTTAATGATGTTAATAGGGAAATGACTTTCTCTAAAGAATCCCTGCTTTTCGTGATGAACGTTGGTTTGTGAAAGCCAGTTTTACTTTAAAAAACATGGAATTGGCATACCTATTGGAGAGAAGATGCAGTAATTTGTAAGTTAAAGAATTGTCTTTGAAAAATGATATTATTGTTAGGATTGAGATCTAAACTGACAGGTTTATATGTATGGAGTTAATATAGGTAAACAAATTAGCATACATTCATTGCCTGTACTAGAACTTAAAACTTAATAATTGTAGAGTCAGAATCTTGTATTATTTTTTATTCATTTAGGTTGAAATTTTAAAATCATTATACAACAGATAAAAAAAATAATGACACAGAGTCAGAGAGCATCTTGGGATGTGGAAAGTTAGGATTTAAGCTTAAATGTTTGCTCTACTTCTTCTTGGTTTACTAAGTGTCTTTTCACTCATTTGTAAAAAGGAGATAAAAGTTCCTATCTTTCAGGACTGTTATGAGAAATAACTATGGTAATATGATGTATATCCACAGCTTAGTCTGGGTTTAGGTCCTCAGAAATCACTTATAACTGTAATGATAATGATGATGGTTTCATCAAGCAAGATCTGAGATTTTACAACTTAAATCACAAATTCATACCTTGAATAACTTGGCTCCAGAACCTGCCCTCATTATAAGATCTGACATCATAGATAAACTCAGATACTGTTGTAATCCAAGATGTGTGCGTGCGTGCGTGTGTGTGATTTTTCCTCCTTTTTTTTTTTTTAAAAAAAAGAGAGAATTATGGAGAAGCCAAACACATCTTCTAATTTGTTTCAGATGTCTTATTATTAATTGTGTCATTTTGGACTCCTGCAGTATTTATCAAACTGCTTTGTGGAAGCATTGTCAGTTTGCTGAGAGAGAACAGGATGTTTGTGATGAGCCATCCATTGACCGGAGGTGAGAGGAGCACCCTCAGCTTTGCAGCAGCAGTGCTGAATTTTAGAAGTTATTGTATAGCAAGAAGTCACTCACAAAATCTGGAAGATTCCTGATGCCTTTATCTTTTCCAGAACCTTATTTTTTATCATTTAATTCCAAGCATAAATGGCTTTTTGGTAAACTATGTAAAGAAAAGAAAAAAGGGGGGGGAGGGATTATATTATGCTAGCCCAAATATTCAATTTTCAAAAAAGCAAGGAGGAAATAAACATGATATTTTCTGTAACTATATCTAAGGTAGATATACAGTCAAAACCTGTTTTAGATTAATCTTATTTGCTAGTTTTCAGAACACTCAGATTCTGCCCTTAAATACATTTAGAGAGAATTTTTTCTTTTAGATAAATATGTTTTTATCTTAAAGTCTGGCTCACCAGAAAGCTTAAGATAGGGCTCCCAGAGGAAGTCACCACAAATCCTTCATGATATATTTAGTATAAATAAAGGATAGAAGGGCATACAGCGAAGCTATATATCCAAAATTTAGATTGGGCCTTTATTAGGAAAATGTAAGCATTAAATTACCTAAGGATAAAAGAGGTAAGGTGGCTAATCATCTTTAGAAATAAATCATCTTTATTTCTTATCAATTTTTTCCCCTTGAAAACTGGAGATAAAAACTCTAAACATTCTCTACCTGTTTCCCAGCTAAATTTTGCTTTAAGTTTTGTTTCGTATTTTGTTTCTTTCCCATTAGGACAATTTATAATTAAATATTTATTTGGGTTTGTTTGTTATTTATGTGTTCTACTCAACCATAAGCACTGTGAAGGCAGGGAGCACATATATTTTGTTCACACATAAATTTTTGTTTATCCATCACCAGTATATGGGTGAACAGCATCTGGTACATGGGAGACATTCAATGGAAGTAACTGAATAGGAAATTACCTTATTTTGCCAGGTATAATGCACACTTTTTTGGCCCAAATTTTTGAGGGAAAAATAAGGATGCACATTATACATGAGTATAATGAGTACATACAATGGGTATAATAATAGGTACAATAATCCCATATATAATGTACACAAAAACTGTGGATGTGCATTATACATGGCAAAATATGATACATCTTATTATATTACTATATAATATGTTATAACATTTAATTCTTTTTTAGAATATATATTAAAATTATCCATAAAGTCAACATATTAAAATCCTTGCCTTTAATTTACCAACTGGTCATATTACAGTAAGGAAATCTTAGATTTTGAGGATACTCAAGGGTTAAATATTAAACAAATATTTAAAAAACTCCACAATTATTGATCCTCTAATTAGCCTGGAACATAGACTCTATATGGGTGGTATTGGTCATAGGAAATCAATCTAAGGCAGAATTTTACTCAAGTGGAATATATCTTGGCTGGTTCCCTGGTCATATTTGATTGGTGTATTAGCTTCCTATTGCTGCTGTAACATAGTGCCACAAACTTGCTGGCTTAAAACAACACAGATTTATTATCTTATAGTTCTGGAGGTCTGAAGTCTGAAATCAATTTCACTGGGATAAAATTGATGGAGACAGGCTTACATTCTTTCTGGAGGCTCTAGGGCAAAATGCATATCTTTGCCTTTTCTAGCATCTAGAGGCTGCATTCATTTTTTTGGTTTATGGCCCCTCTCTCCATCTGAAAGTAGCGGCATAGCATTTTATCTCTTCTCTGAACTCCCCGTTGCTATTGTGCCCACCCATATAATCCATGATAATCTCTTTATATCAAGACCCTTAATTTAATCACACAGGCAAAGTCCTTTTTACCAGTAAGCCAATGTCTTCAGTTTCTGGGGATTAGGATGCAAATATTTTTGGGGAGGGACATTATTCAGCTTGCCACAATTGATCCAGGGGTACAATCTGACTGAAGTAAGTCCAGAGCTCTGGGTTTTTTGCCTTGAACTATGAAAATCTTGGGCAGTGATGGAAGCTCTGACATAGGAAGTTTAGACTCCATCAACAGTCATATATCTTGAGGTATGGAAGAAACTGGTGTAAAAGAAAGAACAGAGTCCCCTGGCAGAGAGACAAAAATGAAAAATGGAGGGGCTAAGGCCCAGGTGTACTTTTACCTCACAAGTCACCTCAGCCTCCCCAAATTTCCATCTCTTGCCTGTACTAGTTTGAGGTAACTTTCTAACACTGACAACTCACTCTAGTTATTCCAAGCCAAGGTCATGGAAACCAAATTTGCCCCTGTCTGACAAGTTGATAGATAAGACAGACCTCCTGGGCTACCTTCCTGGGCCACATTCCTGGGCCAGGGTGGTCAGTGACTCAGATAAACCAGGAAGATACTCATGGTCAGGTCCTGGGGAGGGAGAATGGGGCTGACAAAGGAGAGAAGTGAGAGCCGGTCTCTCAGCCAGGCAAGCCTAGAAAAGATCTGAACCTCCTGTGAGTCAGGTTATACAATAATGGGGTAGAGCTTTTCCACTTAACGGATCCCTGGAAAAATCCCTATCTTTTCTCCCTGGCAAGTTCTAACTCAATTCTTCTTTTTTAAAAAAAAATTGTTTAAGTACAGTTGTGTTTATTTCCCCTTCCACCACTCTACCCTGCCCCACCTAACCCCACCCCACCCCCTCGATCCTACCTCCTTTTGGCTTTGTCCGTGGGACCTTTATACATGTTCCTTGACAACCCTTCCCTTTCTTTTCCCCCATTATCCCCTTCCCTCCTCCCCTCTGGTTACTGTTAGTTTGTTCTTTGTTTCAATGTCTCTGGTTATATTTTTGCTTGCTTCTCTGTTTTGTTGATTAGGTTCTACTTATAGGTGAGATCACATGGTATTTGTCTTTCACTGCCTGGCTTATTTCACTTAGCATAATTCTCTCTGGTTCCACCCATGCTGTTACGAAGGGTAGGAGCTCCTTTCTGCTGTGTAGTAAAAAGAGAGGTTAGATGCACGAAGTAGGTGGCAATGCCTTAACCATATGCATATTGTTAGGCCCAAGGGCCTCTTCCTTCCTTGTCAAGGCAAGTGCTAGCCTTCTCTCCTTTTCTACAAAACTCTAATTCAATTCTTAAGACTTAACTCAAAGTCCCTTCTCCAGTGAAACTTTCCCTGGATGTCTCCTTTACCCTTTCTTCTTCTCTACCACCTTCCACTCTTCCAGAACTAATAATTCCACCCTGTGTGTTCTCATGGTGTTTTGAGCATTCTTCTGCTGGTATCTTTAAAACATGGTATGTTATATTTGGTTGTTTTTATTCAGGTATGCCTAACTACCTGTCTTGAAGGTGAGTTCCTTGAGAACATGATATGCTTCAACGAGTGTAAAGTACTGTGCCATGAAAAGAACATGCAATAAAGTACAGTCTTTACCCCCACAGAGCTAACAGTCTAATGGGAAGCAGAGCAGTAAACCCTCATTGTGTGTGATCAGTACTATGGCAGGGCGTCAACAATATCATGGGAGCACTCTTAGGGGCGCTTTACTCAGGAGTGTGCTGCAAGGAATGATTACTAGAAAGATGAGGCTTGGGCTGAACCTTAGAGGGTAATAGGAGTTGTTAGACAGTCAGAGGAAAGGACATTCCAGGCAAAGTCCCAGAGGCATGAAAGAACATAGTAGATTCGGTGTACCATCAGCAGTGTAATGCTATAAGAACAAGAAGTTTGTGTAGGGGAGTGATGAGAAATGAGGTTAGGGAGCTGGACAAGGGCAAAATTGAAAAGGTCTCAAGGGTCATGCTAGGGAGTTAAGAGTCTATTTCCAAAAGCAATTGCACAGTGTCTGGCATAGAATATTGACGATCACATCGATGGTGCTTCTGATGCAGGGACTGCTTACAATCAATACAGAAATCAAAAGACATGGTTACAGAATTGATGTTTGGCACTGCAACTATTACACTGACATCTTTGCTTTGGGAGAGGAAAATCAATGTTGAAGAACTAGATATTTATGCAGTTTTAAAATCCAGAGATCAAAAACATAAATATAACTGAGCAACTGTATATGAAGGAGTTGATGAATAAAATTGGGAACCTTGGAAATAATACATGCCTAATACTTAGAGCTCCTCTACATTCTTTTTTTAAAAACTTTAAAGAAATCCTCACCTGAGGGTATGTTTATTGATGAGAGAGAGAGAAAGAGAGAAACATCAACATGAGAGAGAAACATTGATTAGTTGCCTCCTGTATGTGCCCAGACAGGGGATGAAACCCACAACCTAGGTATGTGCCAAGACCAGGAATTGAACACACAGCCTTTTGGTGTGCAGAACAATATTCCAACCAATGGAACCACCCAGCCAGGGCAGGGCTCCTCTACATTCCCAATACACTAACCACTTACTAATAGCAGAGATCTTAGTCAGGGGTCTGTTGATGTTCTGATGGAGTTCTGTGCACCCTTCTTTAATGATCAGGTTCCTTCCAAGCTGTGGCTTTGCCATCTTCAACATGTTACCTCAAAGGTACCGTGACATCATCAAGGTAGCACTTAGGGAAAAAGAGAGAGCGCATGGGGAAGGCACATCCCTCTTAACTACCTTGATTGGGCATTGGAACATCCCTTCTTACATTTCATTCACAAGAACTGATGATGTGGTTCCATTTCTATGTGTAAGGCAGCTGGGAAATATCCGGGTGCACAAGAAGAGGAAAAGTATTTGGTGAATATTTGGCTAATCTCTGCCAAGGGGAATCTTAGAAACTGTTTGAATTTGTATTTGCTGGTCATGGTTTTGATCTAGTTCTAAACAAAAAAGATGAAATGAGCTAGATATCATTTTCCAAAGACCTTCCTATGATTGTGTAAGAAGTTTTAAAAAATGTGTCCTTTGTTTAAAAAATGTTTTCGGTCAGGAGCACAACCTCAAGAATTCTCTGATTCATCCTCAGAGGTAGTCACCCACCCAGTGACACAGATGGAATGTGAGATAGAGTTCTAAGGCTTTTCTAAGAAGAAAAAGATTTCTGCCTATACTCCCTTCTTTACTAAAAATAGCTAACGCTCTTTCAAGGCCTAGTATATTTTATTGTCAAATAAGATTCATTTTCTGCTTTCATTTTGGTAAGTTTCTCTCTAAAGCATTAGTCCAGAAGCTCCTTAACCCAAACTGCAGAATCAACCAATTCCAGAGGGGAACACAAAGATAAAGTGAAGTAGATGCTCTGAGAACGGGAGCATATTAAGATGCTTTACTTTGACAGTCCGGTTCGAGTGACTACTTTAATCATATAGAAATGTTGCTAGTTAAATGACCAATTTAAACGCCAACTGTACTAACTGGATTTTGGGTTACATTTAATTTTGATTCTTTCTGTTCTCTAAAAATATACCTCATAGCTTTTTAATTTTAATTCCACATATTGTGCAGCAGTTAACTCTCCCACGCCGTCAGTGCCAACAGTCACAGAAGCCAGAGAAGTGAATGCTTACTAAAGGTGCAGTTTGCCAGTTTTTAAAAAATTCACTTGTTGAACTGCTTAGATTAAATTTTGTCCTTTACAGTATCTTACCGGACTCTCAAAAGCTAAGCTGACAGTGTGGTCTATATGAATGTCACCATGATTCAATTATGACTTTCATAGTCGTTTTCTGACTTTAAATAGTTTCTTCATTAAAAATAGTCCTCTTCTTCTTGAAAGCAAAACAATACTCCAGCTCTGTCTTCATTTATTTATTTAAAAAAATTTAGAGTATCAGCCCTCGCTGGCATGGCTCAGTTGGTTGGGGCATTGTCCTGTAACTGAAAGGTTCAATTCACGATCAGGGCACATACCTAAGTTGCAGGTTTGATCCCTGTTCTGGATGCCTACAGTCCCCAGTGCAGGTGTGTATGGGAGGAAACTGATCAATGCCTCTCTCTCGAATCAATGTTTCTCTCTCTCCCTCCCTCTCTCTCCAAATGTCCTCAGGTGAGGATAATTTTTTTTTTTAATTTAGAGTATCAGAAAACTTCTGCTTAGCTGTGTGACCTTAGGCAAGTCACTGTGCATTGCAGTCTCAGCTTTTTTTTCATCTTTGAAATGGGAATAGTTTCATAGGTTTGTTGAGAAGACTGCAAGCCAGATGATAAATAGGAAAGTTCTTTGAAATCTTTAAAGGGCTATAGAATTACAAGTTACCATTATTAATATAACCACTAAAACCCCAAATGTGTAAAACAATAAGTGCTGCAGAGTTCAGAGAAGGAAGAAAGTAGGACTTGAAGATGAGAGTCAGAGGTAAGAATGAGGAGATCAGACTTGTGCTGAGTCATGGTGGAAGGAGAGGGGCAACACTTCAGACAGAACTGTAAGGTTTGTCTTGAGGAAAATACACATAGGTGGGAATGAACAACTTAAGCTGGCTGGCTCTCAAGTAGGTTGTTGTCCTGGGTTTATTAAGTAACAAACTTAAAAAGTAGACTAGGATCAGGTGGAGAGGGTCTTTTCCTTGACAAGGACCTTGAATTGATTTTTTGATTAGGAAGTGGTGGGATAAGGTTGGTATTTTCAGAAGACTGACTCATCTGGCAAGAAGGGAGATTGCCTAGATGCACTAAGACCAGTTAGAGGGCTGCCATGCCAATCCTGGTGAGAAGAACTAAAAGCCTGAACTATATGAGAGCACTGGGGTAAGAAAGAATGGTATGAGAGTGAAGTGGAAAACCATTCAGTATCGTTGTACCATTGCTGCTACCACCAGAACCACAAAAAACTATGATATTGCAAGAGAGTTGCATAGATTTGGTAGGACAGAAAAGGGGAGCAATCAAGGTTCAGTTTCACAGTTTCAGTGACCAGGAAAATTACATCATCAACAGACAAGATGGTACTTTTCCAGGAGATGGGAATGCAGCCTTTAGTGCTGGATATGTTGTTTGAGGTGAAAACTGGAGATGCAAGTGAAAAGCTCAAGATCCTGGTGCTTGCCACTCCTTGCTTTGAGTGTTATGTACTTGTAATATTGCACTGTTAGAGTCCCTCTTGCACGCACCACGCTGTCATACTTCCACGCCTTTTCTCTTGCCTTTATCTCTGATTGGAATGCTCTTCCTACCTTTATTTCATTATTTTTTAAAAGTCAGGATCAGTGATGTTTAACCTACATACAGTAAAATTCATCCTTTCTAGTTGTATGGCTTAAGTATTAACAAAAATATTCAGTCATGTATATAGAAAGATATAGAAATTTCTTTTGTGTGATTTTGAGTCAATCCCATCACCTCATCCCTAAAACACTAATCTGATCTCTGTCCTGATAGTTTTGCCTTTTGCTTAATGTCATATTAATGGAATTATGCTGTATATAGCATTTTGTGTCTGGTTTCCTTACTTAGCATAATGATTTTGAGGTTCGTTCATGTGTTGCATGAATCAGTAGTTTGTTTCTTTTTATTGCTGAATAGCATTCTTTTGTATGGATGTGCTATACTTTGTATTGTTAAAGAACAAAATTCAGCTGAGTAAATTTGAAGATTTAATTGGCTTTATTGAGCCATTCATGAACTGTGCAGTAACCCATATAACAACTAGAAGGGAATACTGAGAGGTTGTATAAAATGGACCCTTTTTTATAAGAAGGGTGGGGCAAAGGAACTATTAGCAAAAGAAAAGAAAGAGTTATTTTTAGGCCAGGGTATTTTATTTTGGGGCAAGTGGAACAGCAAGAGTTTTTATCATACAGATTGCCTCTTTCTACTGGGGCAGGGAGCTAGAGCGGACCCATGTGACAGATTACCTCATTGGTGTTGACCAGAACATTCCAGACTGGTTGATTAAGATTATTTTTTTTGGGGAGAGGTTGAAAAAGCAATTAGGTAAGGTATTAAATCTAGGTTTGGTAGCATGGACACTATTTTGGGACTATGGTTTTCTTTTTAACAGTATATATGTTCACAAGCTGAAGAACAATTGAATTATTTTTAGTTTTTGGCTATTACATTTAAAGCTAGTATAAAATGTTATATACAGGTCTTTGTATGAACATGTGTTTTAATTTCTCTTGGATGAATACTCAAGAGAGATATTTCTGGATCATTTTATATATATATATATGTATGTATATATAT